CCAGTCTAGTCGTTGGAAAGAACAAGTTTTATTGATGTTAGGTCTCTTGCAGCGCTTAGGCACTATGGTCACTTTAGATTCTTTACTACAGCTGATCTGACACGCTCGGTCTGGCAAAGTAAAGTGCCATTTTGGTGCCAGGTCTACGGAGCTTATGCCGCAATGCACATTTTAACACAAAGCGCGCTACCTGGACACTGTAACATTCCAGCCACTAGAGGTTAAAGACTCATAATCTTATTTTGGACAGAAACGCGCATATGTGGCGGCAGGTGAGGCATCGGTTATCGTGGCATATGAATCACTGTGACACCGTCTGTATTGCACAGTGGCATTCATGCCCGACTGCTGCTTGTTTACGTCGGCGGCTGGCCAACGTATGCACTGCCTACGGGGAAATTTCGATTGGTGACATTCTTGTTTTGACAACTGCGGGCTCGAAACAGAGGTCAGCTATCAATGGAAAGACCAGCTGTCGCAACAAAGGGCAGCTGTCAGAAGGCAGCAGACCAATGCGTGCAGACGATCATGCGCAACCATGTGAAAACTGCTTAGCCACGCTTTCCTTTTTGAGTGATTTAATTCAGTGGTTTCTTTGCGTGTTTATTGCCCTTCATTGTATCCTTATCTTAGTTTTACAAACCTCAGAGCGATCTCAGCCCGTAGGTGCACCACCCCTCGGTGCCCTGGTAATGAACCAACCGGGAAGCAGGCAATGCCACCTTTTCCGAAGCCGGCTTCAAATGCAATAACCTACAGGAACACGCGCAGGTCGGATCATGAAAAGGCATGGCTCAGTTTATTGAGATAATATTCATCCAAAATATGAGGTTTCCTTTCTTTTACCAGCCAGGCAGTATGAAACGGGTAAGCGTCGACGGGGCTCATCAATTGACCGTGAACGCGCTCATCACGGAAATATCACGTGAAAATCGTCAACAAATTGGCTTTAAGACATTCCCGTCGATACATTGTTAAATAGCGTTCGCCATAAGCTCCGTCGCGTTCGTTATACATTCTTGGGGAGGAGGGGGGAGGGGGGAGGGGAGAACGCATCTTGTATCTGCCGCAGCGTTCAGAGCTATCTGCAGCCGTCGCAGGCTCCTGGTGGACAACCGTACCCCCAATAGCCCCCGAAGTCGCTGTCGCCGCAGTAACCACCGTAACCGTTACATCCCAGCTCGTAGTCTCCGGAGCCGGTCATGGTGTGGCCGTGGCCGCGTAACCGGTGAGTTATCTCTTGGCCAGCGGCAATGAAAGATGTAATCATCGGATTAGCTTTCACATAATGTGAGCAACAGGTGAGAAAACCCCAGAGTTCAATATTTCACGGCATTCAGCGTCAAGCTAATGGTGCCTGGCCACTATTTGCACGTGATTTCAGAACTGTCATGTTGAAGAACTATACTAATCAGTTTGCTTTTGGCTGATATTTAGGCTGAAGGCTTCCCCGCGAATGAGGCCGTAGGCGATGCCTGTAACAGTGTATCCCTTTTCATGCGAGAGTTGATTCAACTGCTACCTTACTTGGTCCTGCGGTGCCGTCGCATCCCGCATGTACTCACCAACTTTTTCTAGTTTATCGGGTGACTTCTGATTTCTTCCTGGGAGTTTATGTGTGTATCTTCAACGCACATCGGTTCTATGGATACCAAACCACGCGACAAATTGTGTATAGGCTTCCAATGGCTGCGTGACAAAACAAGCGCATTTAGTACCCAACAAGATGTGTCATTGGGCAACAACCGCAGACGGCAGACGTGTGGAAAGTCGGTCCTTGCATGCATAAGCAGCACTTTCTTGGTGTGTTTTCTCTGAGACCACTTACCCTTTACAGACGCTGACAATCCAAACTTTAAACGAGAACGGTAAAATTCGGTGTTTGGTTTCGCACGTTGCGGATTGCCATGCTAGTGAGCGGCTCCAAAGGTTTCCTGAATCGGCCAGGTATTTGTCTCGGGAACTGGCGAGGGAGAGCGGAAATGTGCTTTACCTAGATTCCGCCCATTTGTTGTCTTGGAGCGAATGCCCATGGCGCTGCTTGCTTAGATTTTTCGATTCTGACCCTCTTTCTCCGTCACATTCCGCTCATGCAGATCTCGAATAATTTTGGCATTATTTCAAAACGAGCACCCGCATTACCACCGAAACGCGTGTTAATGCTTAGGTCATCCAGGCGTGCGTTCAATCTGTTCGCATTACTGCATTACTGCATCAATTAAATTGATGACCTTTCACAACTAGCGTTCCGCTTTTTGTGTGTTTTGTTATTCATCGTTTCCCTCAGTTACTCAGTTCACTGACTGCACGTGTACAAATGTACATATTCACCTGCCATATCATCTCGATCCGGAAGAGTCGGAATGGTCAGGCTCCTGGTGTCCGCTGTCTCCGGTGGCGTCCGACGGAGCCACTAGTACAGCGACGGACGGAGCTCTAGTTCAGCTCAGTTCAGTTTATTTGCTGCAATTCGCAAAGTGGGTTTTACTCCTTCGCGTAAAAAATAAGGGACACACTGCACTTAGGCTGGCCGTTACACAGGACAGACAAGAATCAAACCTTTGCAGTCAAGTGGAAATGTTAAGCTAAGAACTATCAATATGTCGTACACGTAAAAACAGACCTGGATGGCAGGTGTTCCTCACGTATTACATATGGCAGTCTTAAAGGCGCTCAGCGTGGCGACAGTGCTAAAGATGATGGCATGCGATTCCATGCAGAGGCTGCGCGATATGAAAAGACGCCCCATATCGAAGCCTGCCTCCACTTGCGAAGGTGAAGACTACGCCTGCCGGGAGCACTGACCTTACACGAGGGCACGACGGCACGACTTGTAGACGGCGCTCGGACATCGACAGCCGCGTCCTCCGGCGACGGTGCCCTGAAAACCTTGACTGCGTCACGTTGAACCACCAGGCTCTCGATCCATGGCCATCCAACAGAGTTCAGACCCGCGATCATATGGAAATTGTTATCCATTGGTGATTCCATACGCAAACTGATTTCGTTTTTGTATTTACTATGCAACTGACCCTTGGCACACGACCCCTGGCAACTGACCCTTGACACCCCACACGCGGACAGTACATGATGTGAAGAAATGCGTGCGCATGGATACTAATTTTGATGACTTCCAACGAGAACTTATGCCGAAGGCTGTACAAAGAGGCAAGGATGACGTTTTATCTTTGAACTACACGCATGACGTGCGCGCACGAGGACAGGCCGGAGGTCGCCACAACGTACGGGTTTTGAATCTTCAGGTTTTGGAAGGGTGCACGGCCGTTCCGTTGATAACAAAGTTAAAGTTGGCTGCTTTTCAGTTTTGTTTGGATGCAACGAAAGAAAGTCATATGCCTCTTTCATTTTGGGAAGAGCTAACACAAACCACGGTGTGTTTTTGAGGGCATCAAGATCCGGCCAATCAGAACGCACACCGTCAAGGCACATTGTATCATCAGCGAATGAAGTGGGGCGGCCATGTGTCAGATATCTAGACAGATCATAAGTGAACAACATGAAGAGAATGGGACAAATGATCGAGCCCTGGGGCACGCCGCACGACATCGGGAGGGCGAGCCACCCGCTACGTACAATCTGCTCGCGACCACTCCTAAACCAACCAGTGCCAGCTACGTCATACCAAGACAGCTAAGTGAGAAGGACGCCAACGTCGACGCTGTTAAACGCCTTCGGGAGATCGATCGTTCTCACCGACGATATCAATCCGTTGGCGACGTCGGTGACCAGGCGCTCGACAGCGCCGAACACGGCGTCCTCAATGGAGCGCCATGCTCTGAGCGGCATGCCCCGGGGGCACGCATGCTGGGATGGGCTCAGTGGACCGGTCGATAGCAGGCACCTGCTCAGTTGGCTACAGACTGCCAATCCCAGAATCCTGAAAAGCACAGTGAGCGGGGAAATAGGCCTGTCACTGGACAGCACGGCTGGGTTAAGCATCGGTGCGACACATGCCGGCTTTCATTGGTCGGCAAACACCGGCCGCAAAGTACAAGCTAACAAGTGCGGTCCAATGACAGCATAGCACAGACGCGCAGCTGTAAGTGGTACCTCGTCCAGCCCCGCCGCACGCGAGAGCACTCGTGCGATGGGCGCACCGAGACAGTTCCGGCAGCGTCGCCGGCTTGAGCTGGAAGCCTGCAGCGCGAACAGAGGGCGGTCACCATGGTTCTCGGTTCGTTACGGTTCTCGCCTAAATAGTTCGCTGAACACCGGGGAAGAGATGAGGTGTCTCCTCATCAGCCCGTTTTGTATGCTCGTGGAAAGAAGCGGCGCGCTTACCCGTGGACATGTTTGACCTACGCGGCCGCTGATGATTGTCTGTGTAATATATGGTTGCAGTACGTCATACTATGTGGTTGAGAAAATTGACTGAGAGCTACGGAATGGTCTTCGGTGAGCCCGCATTTTCTGCACGTAGGCGGTAATTCGTGCAGACATCTTGACATTAACAAACACCAAGTCATTTGATTTGGTGAGTGCGACGCCATAAGATTCTGATACCATGACGACCTCTAAAACCCAGCGCACTGCAAAATAGCGGTGATGTCAAATAGTGCACGACGGGATTATCCCTATCGTATTAAGAGCTTCGTCTCGCACGCACACATTAGCTATGGCCTGAGAGAACATTTATTGCCGTGCCTAGCACCTCATTCATGCCTTCATCCAGGCCTTTGGTTTAATAGTGTAAAAGATCTTTGGAGACAGGCGTTCACTGAAATGATCGCATTCAAACTTTAACCAACGTTGCACTACAAATAGCCATCACCTCAACGTGAGAAGCTCAGCGCCTTTGAAACCCTTTCGTTTGGAGGCCCGCATATAGGTCGTCAGGGTCCTGTCAAGCGCTGAATGACGGTTGCGCCCGTCGCCCGTCCACCACCCGCGGGTCTGAGTCACGTGACAGTCACGTGCCGGGTGAGGTGCCCTACAGCGCCCGCTCCATGACGACCCGCTCAAACCCCGCCGGGGCGTCCAGCCTGAGGGCGTCGCCGATCGGCAGAGCCCGGCTGAAGGCGCAGCGTGTCGAGAGCGCCACGCCAGCCATGCGACTCCTCTGCTTACTGCTCGGTTTGAGTGTACTTGGAAAAGTGCTGTCAGGTGGGTTCACGATTGGTGCGAAGAACAGCACAAATCACCGTTGCGCCAAGAAATATAGGTGTATGGGTGTGTAGTCTGATTCATTGAGGTCACGCGCGTAATTTGTTATCTGCGAGTTGGTTTAGTGATGCCTGCCGCTCACAACATGGAATCATGTGTCTTGTGGAAGCTATGCTATCAACCTATGACGTAACGCATGGTATGTAACCAGTGATGCCACTTTCCAAAACAGGATTAGGGATTCAGCCGGAAAGGTTGCCCTAATCTACGCCCAGAATCTGATTTCTCCCCGTATTTCGGTGACTTGGATATTCGTCTTTGGTGTTAAAATAAAAAAGACAATACATATTTCGTAGATTCAAAATAATTTTCCGTGGATGAATGACTTCCCATTTCAAGTTAGCGTGAGCTGTCTGTTTCTGAAAAGCTTAGAATGTGGTTAATTCAGCTTAGAATGTGGTGCAATTCAAAGGAAAACAACTTAGTAAAATTTACGGAGGTATCACTGATAACTAGCGCTGCCGCTGATCGCGTTGCATAACCAGCTCAGCAACGATTGTGCGACAATTACACTTGCCATTATTGGAGAGGACGTTCTTCAACTTTTATGCGGGACACCCTGTTCTTTTCAGAGCTGGTGCATGTTTCATTCAGTTGTTTTGAACCCAGTTCAGGCGTTATCATTTGAACAAAAAACTTGTAAAACATTTCCAGATTGGCTCGACATGCGCAGGAGCCAGCAAGACAAAAAGTTTGGGTACGTACCTACAGGGGTACCCAATTGTACGCCTGTGGGCAGGCACAACTATTGGTTACAAAGTGAACGTGGTGACAATAGTTATGTGCTTAGGTGCCTACCACCACGTATGCCAATGATGAATATAATTGCTCTGTATTTTTGGCCCAGTATTCCCTCTGTGTTTATATGCATTGAGAGGACTCAGAGGAGCATTGGGGGGGGGGGGGGGGGGGGGGAGTCCGCAGGTATGAAACGCTTGAAGCGTTTGTTCATGTATGAGCACTGTTATGGCACTTAAGTGTCCGATACATGCACGTGTTCTGATTTATAGGGAAAGTGGATTTTATTCCATGCCATCCTCGAGACCCCTGCCCGCCACTTACTCCGTACTGCTGTCACGCCGCCTGGAGCTCCAGCTGTCTCTGCCTACCTGGCGGATGCGGCAAACTGGGCCGATGCTTCATCGATGGATGAACGGCAATGATGTTTACTGATGAAGATTTTCAGACCGCTTTACAGGAAGCATTGTGACAGCAGGTAGCATTACGCTCTTAAGTACCCATAAAATAAACATGGAGTCTGTAATGGTGTTTTTCATTTCTGGTTGCCGTCGTCTTCCCCAGTAGTGGACATCCACCCCTTTGCTGCATGCCTGACTGTTAGAACTGCACGTCCATAACCGCAGCCAAGCCGCCCCGCTGGAATAGGCTGCTACGTCTTGATCATGCAGATGTTTTCTCGGGAACAGTGTGAACGGAACTCGCAGCCGTCCTGACACTGATCGGAACAGGCACGGCGGACGCACGTACCTATGACCGTTGTCTGTTGCACGGTCGCGAATGATGCGCAGGCACCCCTGGCAAGGGTAGAGAAAGAATTATGACCTGGCACGGTATGACAAGTGTGGAATAGACCAACGCGGTGTCAGAGGTCATCTGACGTAACCGCACCAAACTGAATGCCAAAGCAAACTTGTGCGGCTAAGATACGGACATGTTAAATATTTGCACTTTAAGATAAGCGCCAACCACTGATCTCATGAATCCATGAGTGAATAAATTAACGTTACGTTAAACATTTAGAAGTAAGCGGTCATTAACATCTGTATGAGATTGACGGCAAATTTTCTTAAGCACTAAACCGGCATGGAGTAAGTTTTGATTATCTCCAAATTTCTGACTTGAGAAATAAACAAAATGTGTGCCAAAACTCACAACATCCAACTGATGCTGGCAGTGGTTATTGACTTATGAAATCGGTAAGTGTGAGGGAGTTGTTGGCGAGTGAGCGTGTTGTGAATGACGCTGAATGCGTGAGATAGTGGGTGGGTGGGTGTGTAGGTTAGCGAGTGCGTGATGCGATAGTGAATGGATGAGTTCTTGGATGGGTAGGTGATCGAGAGAGTGAGTGAATGGTAAAATGAATGAGTGAGCTAAAATGAGAGAGAGTGAGGTGAGTGAGAGTGAGAGAGCTAAAATGAATAGGTGAATGAGTGATTTGGTGGGTGGGTGAAAAGGTGGGTGAGTGAGTGGGTGCGTGGGTGAGTGAGCGTGTAATGAATTGAGGGAGCTGGTGAATGCTAGATACTGTGTATGTGTTGTTGAGGGTGTTAGAGTGAGTTATGTTAATAGTTATTGAGCTTTTGTGAAATATGGTATTGCTACGAAAGCTTGAAACACTATTGAAGCAAAAATATATACGAGTGCAGAGCTATTAATTCGCCAACTCAGTGAAACGTATTACGGATTGCTTGATCCCTATGGCCCTTACCACCGTGGCTCTTTTCGAGGCGCCCTTTGGCTTTGGGAAATTATCGATGATCCATGTGGCGCACTCGTTCAAAATTTAAACAATGCGCTTCTCGGTAACAGACCGTTGTCCACTATTGGGCCAATCACAAACGTTCTTTTATTCGCACCAGTAGAGTTGCACACGGTGGTTGTTATGACGACGGTGGTCGCGACTGCGGGGGAGAGGGGTGACGCTGTTGCAGACCGTTGACGGTGCGATTTGGCTCGTAGGTGATTAAGATTGATGTCTTGATTTTGTCTTGACGGTGAAGCAGTGGCACTACCCGGTGTCATTATAAGTCATAACTTATCCTGTGGTTTCACTAGGGTAATTTTTTGAAATGTGTCCCTGGGTCCCCCGACATACTCCTTTGAAACGAAGCCATGCATCTAGAACCATCGACCCAAGCGTTGCGATGCGCTAATGTGTAAATCGGTCGGCTCCAGTGGGCCCGTTATGTAGCCTCCGGCGCATTGTTCGCACACAGCATGCATTGGAGAAAAAGGGCTGAAAGCATTTCTATTTGATTCTCGCAATCGGATTGCTTCGTCAACCAAACCTTGCACTGGAAGCATTGGACAGGATGTAACGTCAGCGTTGCATTTTAGCAGCATATTGTAACCAGCTATTTATACGCCTCAGTCGCGTCGTGATTGACGGCGTCCTTCACAAAAACAGCGACATCAAGATTCGGTGTGGGGGCATATAATGGCGTTTGTTGTGCGTGCATTAGGGACGGTTTTGGGTGATATTGATGTTGAGAGGTGCCAACACGGTTGTCTTACGAATGAGTTGTGATGACTAACCCTGCATGAGGGGTCGCGTCCGGTAATGATGATGTGTTTTAGTGCGCAAGCAATACAATACTTCTGATAAATTAATCACAACAGGTACGTGAACAACATTTTACATTGCAGGTCTAGGGCCGTGCTATCAGCTATAAGGTTTAGGACTGTGGGATTGAATACAAGATAGCTGTTGGCTGCCTAACTTGGGAATGAGACATTCCTAAACTTGTAGCTGGCAACCTAAAATATGTCTGTCATCATGATCAATTGTGTACAGGATGAGACACATACTCTGTTAACCTTGTGCATTTCTTATGTCTAAATTAGCTTATGTATCATTGCACCTCTGGTCTCTGAAGGCAGTATGATGTGGTTAGTCATATGTGCTTGTCTGTCTGTTGGCTTGTTAACAGAAAGATTAGAACAGGTTTTGTTGAAATTGACACACATGCATGTGTTGCAGTGCAAAAGCATTTGGCAGTTGTAAAAACCTGGGAGGTACCTCTACCATCATTCAGCACCTGTTTGCTGCCTAACAAAGCCATGGTGGAGTGCTGTTGCATTCATGATATTGTGTTCTATCATAATTACCTTGAAATATAAATATCCTCATGATCTAACATCATTATTTATTGTTACAACAGGTCACAGTAATGTTTGAAGTATTAAGAAATATGGTACACAGGCTTTTACTTTGCCATAAAACTGATTCAGACTTATAGCCTGAGTTAGACTTTAACCTGAACTACAACAATTATATTTTTATCTGAATGGCATGAGTATGCTTTGCTATATAATTTCACTACTGTACTCACTACCATATCTGTTATGCAGAATGTCTATGCAACATTTGAACACTGACCCCATGCTTGTATGTGTGTGAAGCTCTGGTCATCCCAGATCATGCAGAATTTTCACAATTTTTATGGAGTGATTATTTATTGTTTATCCCTGGAAGTGAACATTGCAGGATGACAATTCCTTGGAGCATTGCCTATCTTTGGGCTGATGTTGATGCAAGCAGCGCTTCAAAATGTGAGAGCTTTGATTTGCAAGGTTCATGCACTGAAACTATAGTTGTACCTATGCACACAGCATATGTTTGGTTTAATACATATTTTTTGTGCAGTCTAAAACTCACATTTTTAATATTCCAACCAGTGCAAACAAAAATGATCAACTAGTAGTTCACTTGGATTATCTGATTTTGCTTGTTCATAGTAAAACACTGAACATTGGTTGTTCTCGTGGCAATAATAAAATACCCAACATCTAATAATGTTTTTGTGATATGCCATGTAACATTGCACTAAAATGACATTTTCAAAAGCTGTCATTGCCCTCACAGAAGCCTTGCAATCAGCCTGGGCCCTGGTCTAAAAATCAGTGGGAAAGGGTTCAAAACCCCTTGGAAGCTCATGGGTGCAATTCCACCCTTTGCTGTGGCCGCAGCAAACCGAGCAGAAATAGTTTGAAAGCATAAGGGAACTGCTATGTTAGGATATTAGGTGGCGTTAACAGATTTGCTTGTTTAGTTTTCTCCTCACTAGAAGTGAAGAATTAAGCCAAGCCAATGGATGAGATACTACCTGTAGATTGCCGCATTGGCATAGATTGAACAGGGCCATGGAGTTTGGTGCATCCAATTCTTTCATTTTCATCACTGACCCACCTTAGCATCAGTAATGCTGACACAGGTAAGGTAAATTGCATGGTCTGATATGAGAGGGTTTCTGCCGCACTATCCACACCATTTCTCTGTCAGGTGTGTTACACAGATTGTTCCCCAAGTAGTTGAAAAGTAATCATTTGTCATAGGTGGGGAAGCAGTTATTTATGTTGTGATAGCATTTTGCATGTTAGTATTCATGCATGTTTTTCCACTTTGTGAATGTAAGCATAATGTTATACTTCTGCCTTGGGTAGTGTTTCCCAAATTTTGAGCTAATTCCAAAGTATGATCTAGTCTCATGAAGCTAAATTGAGCATAGGAAAGTGAAGGTAACAGAGTAACACAACTGCTGGTCAACAATGTCATAGGGCATTAATGGGGCTTGAGTCCCTGTCTGGCAGCAGGTAAAAAGCATGCATTGAAAGAGTAAGGTGATTGAGCTGGTGCAGGATGATAATGTATAAGTGTAGGATAGTTCAATATTGCATGGGTTAAGTAATTTTTATGGTAGTGAGGGATGAGACTGGTCAGTCATTGACCAAACCATTTTGATGCATATTTTAACAAAATATTTAATCCAAACCTCTGAATGGACATATTTCTAGGATCAGAACTCGCACTAAGCAGTGCGTGTTTTGGTAAGCCCTGACCCCCCACTATCTAATCGCGCAGTTCTATGTCAGTGGCAGAATTTGGTGGCAAAAGCCCTGCCGTCCGTCATGGTCCCGTCCACCCTCTGACATCGTCCGACCTTTAATCGCGGCCGCTGCCGCCAGCCGCAGTCCATATCTGTCAGGGGCAAGTAGTGAGCGCCTGAAGCGGGCCGATGCCGCGACGGCTGGGGTAAATCGGAACGTAGGCGCTCTAGCCGGTTGAGCACCGGGGGGATAAAAGGGAATCAGGGACTAGCTTCTCTGCTTTCTCATCTGCAATAGAATATGGATTCAAAGTTTGTTGGTGTTTGCCCACATCAAAGCTAAAAATTGCACTCTGGGCTGTTCTTCGATGTCGTTGTATCTTCTCAAGTCTGTTTTAATCGACCACAAAATTAAAATGACCATCATTTGGGTGGTGGGCTTACTGACATGTGGCCCATCTGTTATTCCCAAATCATATCATCTGGCTATTCCCAGCCACAATGGTGTGGTAGCCATGCCCTGGTGTAGGGTTTTGACTGTAACCGCAGTGTTGCGTTCCATACTTGCCATGGTATGCCCCAGTCGTGTTACTGTGCAGTGTTCCGACTGGCCAGAGCGGGCGGAGCGTCTGTCCATGTTCCAGCGTTGTCACAGTGGCATGTCTCAGGCACGTGGATGATGTCCTCTTTCAGCCGTGTCGTGTCGTGTTGCAGAAGCTGCGGGCGGCCGCTGTCCGTCGGCCGTGCTGCGGGGCGGGCCATGGCGTCCGGCCATGCAGCAGGTGGTGGTGGTCTGGGAGTGGTGGGAGAACAGCCAGCCACCGCTGGCGGCCCTACAGCCCGCAGGTGGTGCAGCTGCTCGAGCGCGCCTTCTCCAAGGGACTGAAGTCGGTGTTCCTGGGGCTGACGCCGAGCCGGCTGCTCTCCACTTCTCTGTGCCATCACCAGCCTGCGTCAGCTGTGCGACTCGTCGGGTGAGCGGTCAGCTGTCAGCCGTCGGGGGCCTGTCAGGTCAGGTCAGGTCAAGGCGGGGTCACAAGGGGCGCCGGCGAGCCGGCTCCGTCCGGGGCTGGACAGCGCCATGGTCGAGACCCGTCTTCATGGGACAGCTCCTGCTCACAATGACATGTCGGGCTGGCCGCAGGTCGGGGGCTCATTCAGAGGTACCCTCCGGCCGTCTACAGTGGACTGACATGTTTTCACCGCGCGACTCCCGTGCACACGCGGCGCGTGCCGTGCACACCCGTCCACGCCGTCGCCCCAGCGTCAGCGTCCCGTCCACGGGCGCCGCCCAGCCGCCGCGTGACCGTGCGCGCGTGTGCGCGTGTCGGCAGACCGGGAGATCGCGGTGCGGCGCCAGTTCTACCCGCCGAGCTCCCCGGCCGGCCGCGGCGCCGTGTGGCAGTGGGCCGGCGACACGCCCTCCGAGTGGCACAGCTACGACATGGACGTCCAGTGCCTGGTGGAGACCGTCTGGTCCATGGTGGGTGTCTGGTTGGCCAGTGATGGGTGGAGACCGTCTGGTCCATGGTGGGTGTCCGGCCGGCCAGTGATGAGTGGTAGCGATGCTGACACACGACGCTGGGGACCTGACCCGTGCGGGGTTGTAGGTTGCCATCGGTGTCGGTGGTTTCGCTTACCACAACGGACCGTGCGCTATCGCCGTTGGGTATATGACATCGCGTGTCAAGAGCTGTCCTTGTCTAACAGAATCAAGGATTGCGTGATGTCGTTGCTCGATGCGTCTGACGAACGGGTGCCTAGTGATTGCCGTCGAAGGGCATGGACTCCAGTGCTGGAAGTGTGGTGTTGGCCGCTGCAGGTGTCCGCCTTCTTCCCCAGGCAGGGGACCACGCCGTGTGCTGACCTGCTGTCTTCGGCTTTCTTGTTTACAGGGCGAGCAGACGGTTGACGTCAGTCACGTGTTCCCGCACCTGCCCTACATCATCAACTTCTGCAACCTGACGCAGGTGAAGAAGACGAGCGGGTACGTGCGCCAGCTGCGGCGCGCCCAGCAGGCCGCCTATCCGCTCACCAAGGTGCCGGCCGACGAGTTCGTCTTCCAGCCGCCCACGCTAGGTGAGCGCCGCGTGGACCCCGCACTAGCGTCCCTGTGGGGCCGCCGGTCAGCAGAGGTGTCCCAGCGGCACCGGCCGGCCTCCACCGCCGAGGACTTGTCATCAGCATATAGCGGTGTAAGCCGGGATGTTGATTTCGTTTTGGTTACCCGTTTGCTTGTTTCGTTGCGTTCCGTTTTCGCCCTCGGTTGCTTCGGTTTGGCTGAGTTCCGCTGTGTCCCCTGTAGAGGAGATTCGTCGCCCGCCAGCCACCTCCAAGA